GCTGATTATTAATATGCCTCAAATTGATGCGTTTCATAAACCTAGTGTTAAATACGTGCAAAAAATGTTGAATTATATGTAAAATAAAATATTATCTGATATAATTAACTGAGTATATATAAAGAAGTTCTCTGTTTAATACCATCGTGGACATTTCCAACAAATAATACTTTATTGAATGTACATGGCTTTGTGCGTTTATTATTTATGATCAGTTTGCTCATGCTGAAAATTAAAAACTAATTTTGAAAATTATTGAATAATACATTACATTATATGTAAAAGATATTTTTATTATTTTTCTATCGGTTTATCTATTAACAAAACGCGTTACATTTCATCCACATTTATTTGTCCATTTTAGTTAGAACTTTTAATATTGTAATACTTTATCAAAAATATCATATATCAATATCAAATATGGACCAATCAGTAGTTCTTTAATATCAATATAAGTAATTTATGAAGAATTACATATTTACTTCTTTTCAAAACTACAAGCCCCCTTTGAAAGTAATTGTTCACTTAAAATATATCAAGTGATTTAGACTATTAAAAATAATTATATTAACCTTTATAGAATGCGTATGTATATAAAGGGAAGTAAATTTTCATAAATTGAATTAGTATAAAAATAAATATTTTTCATTACAGTTTGTAATCACCACAAATAATACAAACTTTTCGAAAGCATGACATGTTACCTACATGGCATGTAAACATATACTTGAGTTACTGAGAGTGATATTTTAATAACATTCAAATTCGTTATATCAAGTATGCTGAATATATTTCACTGCATAAACCACTTAATTTTCACTGAATTATATCGCCGTTAAAATAATAAAGTACTCCATAAATAAGTATTTCCCATTAAATATCAATCGCTTTGAAGTTAACACAGGATAATTATAAGTCTAAATAAAATATGTAATATGTTATATGTATATGTAAATGTAAGAAGTAATGAATATTGAATACAACCTTTCAACCCTTCGTGGACTCCTGATACTGAAGGATACCGTTCAAGAGACCCTTTGGGCCGATCGATAATGTTCAAGAATATCTTTTGCAACATATAACATTTAACGAGTTAATCTTTTTACAATAAACGTTTAGCTATATCAAATTGATATTTATTATTACAATCAATAAATATATAAATAAAATAGTGGTAATATACTGTACAATTATATGTAAAATAAGTTATTATTTCAATGCATAATTATTTATATAATTGGACAACCTTAAAATTGGACTTTAACATAATATTATTATTTATTATGTTTCATTTATGCTGTATTATTTAAATAAAATTTCACTTGAATCTGAAGTTAGTAAAATTATTAAAATTTATTTCATGAATGTCATTTACGAATTAATTAACATTTTTTAATATCATATAACCAACCACTACCACAGATTTAACGAACCTGATATACTATTATCTTGCAACGTACCTATACATTTTTCGCGAGCCATCATCGATAACGATCGTCAACTCGCGAAAACTGAATACTTCGTCCTCTTATTAAATCCTAATACAATTCATTAAATTGTAGCATTGCAAATCAAGAAAACAATTTACGATTAAATACACTGTCAATCAAATTCAACAAACGAAACGTTTGATTCACTTATTTACATTTAAATAGTTTCATTTCATAAAAAATTCTCCATTTGTATTAAATAAAATATTTGAATCTTTATAAAAATATCCATAATTACAATATTATAAATTTTATAAATAAATAATGTAACAACATACAGAACTTAAATTAAGAGTATTGCTCTTACCACTTCACTGTATATGTTATATTAAATTAAACTAGTATTAGAGATTTCAAACTGAAAGTAATAAATATTCATATTTTTTATTACATTGAATTTGAAATATCCTTGTTTATTTATCAATGTTTAACTATTACAATAAACATAATGTTACATGGATTTTTCTTATTCAGTAATTTGGATGAACGTGGTTATGAAAAAATAGCAAGATCAGAAATTGAAGCTCCAATATAAAAATATAAATTATAAAATATAAAGAGGTCAATTTTTTAAATGTATTTTCACGGGTGATAAATAGCATAATGCTAATTTAATATAAATATTCGAATAATTCATGAAGCTATAACATTTTACATAAAATAATTCAAGTGCAATAGATCATTGAGTCATCCGAACGTTTCACAATTGGATGGTATTAATATTCCAGCATAAAACCGAGAGGGTAGTCCTGGCCAACTACTTTATTATTAATTGGTGATCTGAATATTTGTCACGAACACTTTCTTGAAAAGCAATTGAAGGAAACTAATTTTATTAAAGAAAAATAAATCAGCAAATTCTGGTTACATTTATTCACAATATTTTAGTGGATACTAAACTATAGTATTGAAATTATTTTGTAGAAAGGGATTCCATAGTCCTTATGATAAAGGATAAAACGCGAAAAAGAATAAAAACCATACAAAAATTCAATCGGCTTTAAAATAGGCTTTTAAAAATAGTTCATATCGATATTGCAGAGATTAATATTAGGTGTTAAAACATGTCGTGTTAGTAAAAGTAACTACGAATGAAAATCAATTAAGAATTTTAAGGCCGTAAACTACTGAAACAGCTGAAAGTGCTAAACAATTGTCAAAATAAACTACTGAAGAAACTGTGTTTGCAAAAGACTGACATTTTACGCTCATATGTAATAATTAAGTTTTATCTTTAATCAATAAAATAATCTAGAATTTTAAATAATTCATATGTAATTTCTCGCAAAAATTATGGAAGTACAGTTTTTTTTAGATTTTTTAGATGTCCATTATATTGTATAATTGAAAACATAAGTTTTTAAAATAATATTATATAAACAGCGTCATCGTTTTTAGTATAATTAAATGTTAAAACTATTGTTTCCTTTAGGATAAGTGTTAAAGAACTACGTTGATCTGTTGCATTTATCAATAATAAATTTCTTTTTTAACACGAGTTTTCTTTATCTCATCTCGAGCTTTTTTTATCTTATTTTTCTATTTTTTAACATTTCGATTGTGCTCAGGAGACAGATATTTATAATTTAATATGGTTAATAAAGATAAATTTATATTTTGAATTTCCAAGATGAAAAATCTGTACAAATACTCTTAATTATTGAAAAAAATATTTGTGCTCGAACATCTTATTTACAAACAGTAATATTATAATACACCAGTGGTGTCATAAAGTTGTAAAATATAATAGTTTCATATGTACATATTTTCCGTATTTTCGAACGGTAATGTTTCTTTAACAGGAGATCTAATGCTACGAGGAAGGAAATCATAACACGAAAACGGATTCAATATAAAAACATTGAATTTATTCGAGTCGATTATACAAGTACAGAAATGACAATAAATAATAAATGCGATGGTAACGTGATATAATAAATAAACCGTAACATTATGTACGTTTACGTGTAAGCCACAATAAATATACCTACTACGTATACTTGATAAAATGCAAATGGAGTTCTTAATGTCTAAGTGCACGTGTATAAAAACGTTCAGTATCACATCGCGTGTGAATACCAAGTACAAAAATATCTAACTTTAAAGTACTAGTATGCCTAAGTACTGGTTCAATAGAAAACACTGATTGTCTTTAATACGCAGTATGCACTTTCATTCGAGAAGGAGAATGCTGTCTGTCGTCGCACGACGATCGCTCGCGGTCGAGTTCAACGCGAGCATGTACCTACAAACAACTCTTACGGTTCGTAATGGTCCCTTGATATACGTGGCTTAGCTAACGGAGACGTCTCTTTGTCGCACGACCAAAGTCCGCCCGTGAAAACGAAAGAAACGAAAAGAAAAATGGTTCGAGAACGACGTCATCTTTTATTTCACTTTTTCTTCGCTTTTTTCCACATTCGAAACGCTTGAAAGCAACTAAGAAGCTAATCGCGGAAAGATAAATTTGTCGCGCCCGCGACGATACGAGATTCTACAGACTGGAGAGGGAGAAACTCAAGAAGAATAAAATAAAAAGTGAAACTCTTGCGGTTACATCTAAATACGTATAGTACGCGTGAACGTACGCCACTTACAATAAGTAATGCGCCTATGTATAAAACATTAGGAACTCTGTACGTACGCGTACGCTGGAGATATCACAGCTAAACAACATTAAGCTATCGCCTACTTATGTTAAAGCTACAATAAATAAGTTTGACAAATCATCTCGTTCGGCGATTAAGTTGATGACGCTTGCCGCGTATCGTTAATACTTTCGTGTTTCGAAATCTCAATACATACCGCCGAGTTTTTCTCTCGAACTACGTATTTATCAGTCGCGATTGGTCGATATAATTGGAATTATAGTGGTGCCGCACGAGAAAAAGATTCTAGAAATGGTTATTATCATGGAGAAAACTCGATTGTTTTTTGCCCTATTAAACGGTCAGACTTCCGTAGTTGCGTACGTTATGTAATTTCAATAATTGATATCCGTAATATTCTCATTGCGCTTGTTATCTGTCTTTTCTGTTTTATGGCTTCAATGTTATCTTCGTATTTCCTTTTCGTATGCTCTGGTCGTTTTAAGTAAAAAAAGTACGGCGTACGAACCAAACGCTTTGTCAAAATTATTCACTATCCTTGTTATTAAGTATATTATTAGATATAATACTGTTCTGAAATATATTTCTTAATACTGGTCTCTAGTATACAACTCGATTTCCAATGATGCTTCAACTACAAAATGCATCGGTAGTCGAAAATAAGACGCCGATTTTTAAATATTGGTCGTCACCCTCATCTATCGCCACTCTTTTAACGATAACTCCAACGGAACAAACTGGCAAGAATGGAGAACACTAAGCATCTATGCGTGAACGTAACGATGAAATAAATAGAAACACATATGCCAGTGATAATCCAAAATGTAAAAGCTTCCTTGAGAAAAGCATGAGGAAAACAAGCAAACGATTCTGATCAGTTTTAATATTGTCAACTTAGACGTTGAAGTCAGACAGAAAGCAAGACTCCCGATCCAAGAAATCATTTTAAGGGAAACTCAAAAGGTGATTCCTAGTTTTCAAAGTAACAGATGATTGCAAACAATTGCAGCATTCAGATCTATGAAAAACGAAAGATTCTTCAATATAAAGTCAAGATTGCCTGTTAACCTCTTCAAAGTAAACGATGAATTTCGACGAAATAAAAAGAAATGTCACAACATTAGTTTCATGACGCCCCTAGCAACTTCTTTTGTTTGTTTCTTAGCAGTCTGTTCCTTGAAAAGCCCTTTTTCGATCCCTGAGGCAAGGAACTATTCTGACCAGCATTCACAGGGCGCTTCCGAACTGGCCTGTTTTGCTTCTTAATTTTCGGTACTCTTTTACCCTTTGACCCAGGCCCTTTGTTAACGATCTTCGTCCCAGAATTCGGCCTGGCAGGGTTACAGGTGCCTGGCCCAGGTGCAGTGGCGTTTCGGAAGGCTTTGGTCCAGGCGTTCAAAAATGTTTGATACAATCTTATAACACCCCCATCCTGAATTAACATGTGGGTCAAGTCCCCTTCCTTGGCCCAGTTGGAACTTTCAGTAACAATTTTTGCGGTATGTGCCGTAGGTATTTGTAATCCTAAGTTGAAGATAGCAGTCTCCACTTCGCACAACACCTGTAATAAAACACGCCCAATTAAAACGTTTGTTTCTATTATTTCCGTTCTAAAAGCAATACAAATATTATAATGCCTGTTATACAAAACTTTGTGATCGTTTTCAAAAATGGTAACATTGTAATATTTTCGATAGACATACGTCGATGAAAATCATTTTTTCTACTAATTGAAAATTTTGAGCAAAAGCTGTAAAATAAATATGTTGTATCGTTAGGACTGTATTGATCACAGTGAAACGTAAGTTAAATAATTAATACATCAAGAATACTATTTTTTTAACGTCTAGTTTTATTAAAAGTACTTTCAATAGTTATCATTAATTTAATATTAAAACGAAAATTATTGTGGCATTATTAAAAGTTAAAACTATCGTGTGTTATATTTGGTATTGTGATAAAACCATATTGGTGCGTTACAATTTAATATGATATAAATTTTTCGTACCCTAAGTATCTCATTGTGCATTTGTTTAATGATCTCGTTTCTTCTGTTCATAGTGAGATCAAAATTAATGTTAGAATTCAGACGAAAAGCTCTGAGATGATGGAACGTGATGGCGAACCTTTGGAGCGAATCGTGAAGATGAGGAAGCGCACGATCAGCTTTCTTTCCTTTTTCAAGACACAAAACCTCCCTGGTATACCACTCGAATTCCTTCTCGGGAAGCCAGGGCATTCTGTACTGCCCCTTCAGCTCTTTGTACACCTGCGAATGAAAGTCGAGATATTGTTTTGTCTAAATACATTTTTAATATATACACTCAACGATACACATCAGCACTTGACTTTCGTCGAGTTACGCAAGTGTAAAATATGTCATTCTCTATAGGAATATCCGGCTCCAATTTCAAGATAAGGGTGCGAAGTTTCTCGCGAACAATTGAATTTGCTGAACTTTACTGTTATAATGCATCATACACAAATTCCTTTACATTCTTAATCGATTTGATTTAAAACAATGAACGTACAGTGAATGAGTACAACTGTAAAGTCATATTGAAACTGCAGAACTTTCATTATATTTATCAGTTTATGTTTTAGACAATCGAAGGCTTACTGGTCAAGCAGCAGCCATGCTTATACCATATAATGTAATGTAATACCATATGTAAACTTGTATTTACATTTTTTTTCACTTTTTATCATTTAGGATCGTGATTCTCTTATTACTAACATTCACATTTAGAAATTCGATGTTCGTTGCTTAGAGCAAAGTGTAAATAAAGTGTGAACAAAATATGGATAAAGCACTGAGACGATATTACAAAAAATTTTATATGTTATAACGTGTAAATTACACACATGCAAAGCGTCGAATTTTGAATTATCTATTATTATCAATTATGCGCATAATTTAAAGTGAGTAATATTTTGTATTGATAAGCACATGAAGGATTCATGTTCTAATTCATAACACTTACTTTCTAAGTGAAATAATTTATACGTTAACTGCTATGACTACCGATTTCTCACGAATCGTATCAAATATTGTTTATACGTATAAATAAATCATTAGTTTAAAAGATATTTTAATTTCAATATTGAAAAATGGTACCACAGTTCTCTTAACGTATACTTCCGCTTCTTTAAATGACATACGGTATTACGTATGTTCTGTGAAATGGTGAATAATAATGAGACGAACTGAAACGTATCATTTCATCTCACTTTGATGATTAAATTAAGAAACGAGAGAATGAAAGAAAAAAACATGTGTCAATGTTAAAATTTCTAAAGATATTATCTTGATTATTGATGCAAATTTAAATTCGTGTTCTACAGTTTTTAAAATACTATTAAGTTGTCAAACACGTAAATGGATTAGAATCAACGCTTAGCTCAAAATAAGTTCATATTTTACTTATAATATGTATTATATATTGTGTAATAATAGTTTCCTATTCGTCTGTATCAAATATCCTTTATCCTTATTCAGAAAAAACAGTGTGCAACTTTGGAAAATGTAGGTGTAGATAAATAAATGTAATAATACCACTTTACAATATCGAAATTAAAATGTTATTGAAACTATTAATTTTTTCAATAAATATATCAATACTATAGTATAGAAAGTTAGTAGCCACATCGATTAATGGATTAAACAATATACGATTCTATTGAAAAAAGAATAAATCTGATCTTCATATATTCTTTACGTATCCATCGGTATGCGACAGGAAAATCAAATAGATACAACTTTATTTTGAATCCTCTTCGTATACCATATAGTTTATTAGTAATTTAGTAACAAAAATAATAAATTTATGCCTGTTACCACTACCAAAAGTTATAAATACTATAATTGGTCCTTTATTGATTTTAAGAAGAAAAAAATAGCAAACTCTTCGAGTATCAGAAAATGCAAATGTAAATAAGAAAATAAAATAATATTTCTAATGCGAGCATATGCATTTTTCCGACTCATTTAAAAAGCACACGCAGCATTACTAAAGACGCTTAAAAACAAAGAATTAATTTCCACAAGACACGTAGATTTTTTTATCAGTTCTAACGTAAAAAATTGCCAAATTAAATTAATCATTATAGGCTGAAATATCGATTTACCATTGCAGGGAGTTAGCTGTTTGTCTGCAGTATATTATGATTGCATTCTGTGATGCAATTATAGTGGCAATGAAACTAAGACTGAATTTCCTTGTTAAGAACAAAGAGACATCGGAATAATTCTTGATATTCAATTATTTGATCATCTAATGTATATAAAGTAGATTGAGGTGAATCGGATCGAATAAAAACTCCAGTTCACATTTGTTATTTGTCACATTCCATTTTTCATTTGCAAAGGAAAAATTTTGTAATTCTTCTTGTTTTTATTAGTAATGTTCAAGTATTTTTATTTATTGATTATGAAACGGAAAATGATTCGATCCGCCTCGGTGTATCATATAACAATTTGTCCAATGCTATACCGGTTCAATATAACAGCAAGTATGTTGTTGCAATATTTACTGGGCACATAAACACGCCTTTAGAATATATTAATGGGCCTATGAACGCGAGCATAGTACAATACCCCTGCTGCAGTCAAGGGGTTAAAACATCTCACTCCCATTCTCGTAAGTCCAAAATAATTTCCATATTAATCCTACGTGCGACATTGTTATTCTGACACTGTATAATTTACGATTTGGCAAGCTGCACCCGCCACAGGACGGTGAACACGTGTTATCGCAATCATTTCGGATTTACCGAAACATTTTTAAATGCAGAGTAAGGCGGTTAGTACTGTACAAAAAGTGAATATAATATACGAGGATCTTGAACCTTGAATCCGATTAAGGAAGTAAGTTCAGGTTAACGCTGCTTTATAAATACTGATTGTACTCTTCATTTCATTATTTCCAAAGAAATAGGCATGTCATGTATACATAGACGTTCAAAATTAAAATTAAAAATTCATCTGATTAAGTCAATCGAAGTCAACATAAATTGCTAAAGAATAATATTTCGGAAATTTTGAATCCTTCAAACTGATAGAATCTCCGATGGATTTGCTTTCAACTGCTAAGCAAAAATCAACACGGAAACTAATGCAGCGTTGATTTAAAAAGCAAAGTTGTAATTACATTCGTGCGTGGCACATCATAGCAAATGCAGATTGCGAACATAGCAGAAAGTAGGACTTTAGAGCTAGTAATGCTCCGTTGTGCACACGTGCGAACCTCTTTGATGCAGTCGCCCACTCTCTTTTACCTCGGTACGGTTCAGCGATTAATTACGAATCGCGGTCAGGTCGAGCATTACAATTTACCTTTGAATATATGTCCTGCACATCCTTGAAATGCATCCTGAAGTGATTCTGAGCAACTCTGAGCTGCGTCCGCACCCTTTTCAACGTCCTGTGCACACTGTGCCTCTGCGGCATCTTCTTGATCGGCATCGGCACCGGATTGCCACACGGCTGCAACCAGCGGTCCATATTGTTCGATTTGGTTACGGCGGTGCGAAGGCTGTAAGCGGGTGCACCTGAGACCGTATTCAGGCTCAAACTCAGGACAAATGTGAGACTCGTCAAGATAATCGTCTGTGCCACCGAATCTGTAATACAATCAAAATAACACATGTAAGAAGAATACTCTTCCAGCAGATTTGATTTCTTTAATACTAGATTCACGGACGTTTGTTGTATGGTTTATTCTATTGTTCCTAAAAAAATTGATGTTCGTTTGTTCTGATTTTGGAAATTAAAGGTTTAAACATAGGTAATTTGGCCTTTATGTTTGAGTAATTACATCGATCGAATTCGATGTAAATATTCAGCAAATAATGTTTATAGTATTCAATATGCGTCAAGTTTGACGCGGTCCGTAAACTTAGTGTTAATTCACGTCGGGAAATGTTCCCTCAATTTTTTAGGTAATAGCAAATCGTCTTGAAATTAGATATAACAGTATTAAATAAAAGATACGTAATGCTATTTAAAGAAAGCAAGGTGTACTTGTCTGTTTATTAAAAATACAAAAACAATCTTTTTATTGAAGTGTGTATCCAGGTCGATGCTGATTAACACATTCACGTTGGTATATGTTCCTATATGATTAATCATAAACCGTAGTAACAACAATGTATACAAAAATGATGTTGTAGTGCATTTTTTTGTCACATGTTTAGTTTTCTGACAAATTGTTGCCAATTGTGGATAAAAATTAATAAATAATTTGATAAATAATTTACTTATTAACTTCGATTTATTTTAATGTTATAAATTAGTTGTGTACCGCCGGTAGTACATGCCGATGGGAACGTGTTAATCTCTTTACTATGTGACATACATATCCTTTGTTTCTATAAGATTTCGAATGTATTTTATTTTAACACTTTGACATCATGAAAATTTACAGAAGTGCAATTGCAGTATATGTGAAATTCACAGTTCTAAATAAAGTCAACATGTAATAGTTGAACAAAAAAAGAACGCGCTACTCTGACTTTATAAACTGAAATCAAAATTGATAAGATAATTGTTTCTCTGTTTCAATTTCTATTTACTATCGTACACCTGGTTATTTTTTACCTATTTTTAAAATCTATTCTGATTTTCCTCCTTTCCTGGCATTTTACACTATATTAAAATCACTTTAACGAAAGTGAGGTAATAAAATACAATTTTGATAAAGAACTTAATTCCAATATAAGCAATATAAATCATACCATAAATAATTTTAAACAACATTAAACTATTTCTAAGTTTCGAAAATTGTAACCGTGCGTCATGAATATTCGATGATTCAAAACTGAAGAAAAATTCTTGTAAACAGTAGAATGGACAGAAAGTCTCGTTACATTTTTAAATGAAGTTCAAATGAAGTACAAATTAACCTTCACTGAGCAAATATGCAATATGTATTGCATATTTTATTCGAAAACGTTCTATTATATTCCAGTTTACCTATTCGTAATATTTATTAGTGCATCATAACGCGTACACCACAATGAAAAGTAAAATGACAAGACTTCTCGGCCGACCTAATATTTACGTGGTTGAAAACATCTCTGTACAAAACGATTAGCTATGTGCACCGTTCATCGAAATCCACTATGCAACGTATGATTGACTAGTATCACATTTTCACTTTCACCCATCCTCCTATGTATGCGAGCGTAGAGACGGTGTGTTTTCAAACATTAAATAGACACATTCGTGCGATATTTGAAATTGGTCGCCACTTAATGATGCTAGATCAGGAAACGTATCGAGAATTGCTATTGAGAGAAGGTCGCATGCGGCTTCCTGGCCAGCCGTGTGAAAGAGAGATTGTCGAAAAGGAAAGAGAGGAACTCTTCCGACTTTCACAGTCGCGTACCTACATGGATACGTAGGTACCTACGTTGCACCTACGCGCCAATTTAACAGCGACCAATCGTCGCCCCCGCAGTAGGAAATGGGTTGCAAATCGGAGAATCAGGATTTATTGCGCAATTAAACGTCCCGGCTTACGACTTCCTTCGCAATTCCATACTTCGCAAACTCACCCCGAAGGCGTGCAGATCTCTTGAACTTTTTACGAGGCCAGACCCCCGCCGGTTAATAAATTTCACACGGGCTTCATTATTGTTCGATTTCGTGTAAACGTAAAGCGGAGTGTCGATTAAAATTGATTTATTTCCCATATTATGAGGGGCAAATAACTTTTAATCCGAAATTTAAAACCGTGACCCGCGAATAACTCACTCAAGACTTTGTACACAGAAAAACTGGTGATTATTTACAGCTGGGAAATAGAAAGAGCGACATTATTAAGTACACGCGGACATATATGCACGCGCGGTGTGTTTGTATACATTAAAGCTAACAAGTTTGTAAGTTTGCGAATATTATTTTCCTTTACTTTTAATTTTAATTTATATTGGAATTATAATTCGTCATTAGGCATTATTTTTTTAAGACTTTCAAAATATGAGAATAGTATATTTATTTATGAGTTCATTTTTGAATACCTTTCAATTGATCGTGGAATATTTCTTATACACTCACAACTGAAGGAAATATTTACATAACTTGTCGTAATTAAGTCGTGTAGAACTACGAATTTATCCAATTCTTCGTTTTTAACATAAGAATCCTTTCAAATATTCCGACTAATGATTATCAAATTTTCTAGCTAAATGTGCAGATACAATCAAAGTTCAGGAAGGGGTAGTTTTGATAAATATTTCTTTAAAAACCAAAAACTTTTGATTCAGAACTGTCTAGAAAGGTGTTCACAGGTTACCACTACCCTGAACCACATATTGTAAACACTAGAACTACCGTACCAGTGAAAATGACCGATTTCGGTTTATTTGTTTGCAATTATTGACATTTTCGGAGCATTAAATACTCGAAATGATTTTGAATATAAATAGTTTCACTTGTATACTATAATGAATACCTAAAGAAACTGAAAATAATCCGTGGTCACAGTTTTTATAAGGATTACATGTCACTCGCATTAAATACTCAGTAGTCCTAACGTTAGACATCCAATCGGCTTTATAAAATTACCATTACATTACACACAAAATTACACAGAATACATTCGGTTAATCTTCACTCTAAAGCAGTCGTAATTGACAAACAAATTGAAGATTGACAAAACTACTACGCGCATCAACAGAGTCCTCGAACAGCCACGAGGGTAATTAACACGCATTAATTGCTCGTGCGTGCGTGTACATCCATCCGAAGTGGCGGTGCGTGTGTTCAGGCGCAACCTGTCACGGCGATTCGATACGATCGTTCATGCAATTCGCACGTCAGTCACGCGTGAACGAATACACGTCTCGGCGCACTGGCCAGTAACAGCACACGTGTATCGCGCGATGATGCGCACCCCACATCCCGCGGCTCGATTACTTTTATCCTTTCCGATCGAAATGAATGATTAATTGGTGCCAGATCGCGCGTTCCCTTTTACTTTAGTCCAGCGGCCGCCTGACACGTGTACGAGCAACAATTCTCATTACCAATTAAAATACAACATGCTAAATCTCGACACGCGTACCGAGTGGACGGTAGAAGAATCGATCCTAAAACTGTCGTACGCCGCGCGAATGTCGATATTTCATTGCGACTTGGAACGCAAAAGCGTGCGTCGCGAATCCAAGAGCCGTGGTACACCCTAGTCAACGTTTAACACGTATAATACGAGGTATGTATGTACCGCGACAATAACTAGCTCGTTCAACAATGAGAATAGCCCCGTTCAAGCTTGTCAATCGTTAGAACCATTGAAAATCGTTCCCGGCTCGATCTTCCAAGGAAAATTAAAGCGGCATTCAAACGTTAAACGTGAAGCTCTAACGAACGCGCCCCTTCGCGGGACTATTTAAACATGGACTTAGCTTGACAATAAGTCGCGATTCGATTAGCCCGTTGCCGAGAGACTGGAAGGAGCCTCTCGCACGTGTGTATCTTATCGTAAACTCACGCCTCCTCTTCTTCTCCCGGAATTGCTCTCCACTGCTGGTCTCAGCCAGCTCGTACCGAGAGATATATGTACACAGTGCGTGGGCGTACGTTAAAGGTGCACCCCATATTGTGCATACTTTTAACGATCACCGCTTTCAACTGTAACAATTTGCATCGCTACTCACCCGTGTTTCCCCATTCCACGATTTACTGTATCATCATTTCGATCGCCGAACGTACGTATTTCAACGGAATGCTACAATTACGATATCTCAGACCTCAGTCTCGATTAGATATCGTTTTTCATAGGTTCGCTGTTCACCGTAAAACAATGTTAAATATGTCGCGTTACCGTCACCGTTTATATATAGAAACTTGTCCCTTTGTGAGTAAACATACATGTTTACGTATGTACGGACACTGCAATTCTTAATAACTCTAAACAGTAACACACAAATTCTTTTACTCTAAAACAGTAACACACAAAAATTAGTGGATTTTATTAAATGATGTAAGTAATTAAATATAGAAGATAGATTTTTGGAATGTCAAAGTATATTATTACTACGAGAGTAGAAATACTGTGCATATCAAAAGAAAGAGATATGTATATGCAATGTCTGGTGAACTGCTGTAAATTATGTCATGTGTGACAGTTTTGGTTTGCTGAGCTTCGCGCCAATAATTTTCCGATCAATGACGATCCACAGTCTAGAAAGCAGAATATGATCGAGTACGATTAAATAAAAGACCTGATCATTATTGATTATTGTCACACAACTCAAGATACCGCAGAAATATCTACTTAAAGTATTAAAATTTAATACGAGAAAATGCTTATGTAATCTAGGCTACATAAATCGATACGATATTTGCGTAGCACACGAGCTGATGGAGCAGAATTCGATCAATCGCATCTCTATGTCCGATTCGAACCTCAAAACAAATACGATCAATTTAAAAATAGAAACAGTTATTAGAAATGATAAATGGATTTAATATTCAACCAAAAAGATCTTGATCCCAAAGAAACAAAAGATAATTAACGACTTCTGTGATTGGAAGGATATCCTGTTACGAGTATCCAATATAAATTTTTAGCAAATCATTGAACGATTAATTCAAACAATCACTGCTCATAATTGGA